CCGCGCCGCGGGGCGCACACGGCACCGGGCGTTCACGGTCCCACGGGCACGCCAGGCAGTGACTTTGCTGCTGAAATTTCTTAAAACTTACCAAACAAAAAAGCTGAACACCACGCTGGGACCGAGCTGCTTCCCGGGAATCACGGTTGTTAGAAGGAAAACGTTTCATCTAAACCCAGAAGTACGCAAGTACTACATGCAGTAGTATAAATTTCAAGGACATATTACAAATACTCTGAAATTAATCTAGGGTAGGGGAAAAAAAAGAAACTTGCTACAGACACCATAATACACAATAAATTTAGATAATTTAAAAATAAAAAAGGCAAGAGGCAGCATTTCAGCAGCAAAGTGCTCAATAAAAAGTATATTGTAAAGGGACAGTACAGGGGAAGAGGGAGACAGCAGGCAGGGAAGGGTCTCAGAGGAAATACGGTGTGGTCGTTCTAGGAGGAATTACACGTTCTGAATCTGGAACTGCGCGGAATAACTTTGGTTCTCTTGTATTTACATCTTTAAAGACCATGATTGATGCAATATTTCCACAGCGGTAGCAGTAATTTGGAGCAGACCATACCGTTACCAATTTCTCATCAAACATGAATTTGTAACCTTCATGAACTAGCTGGTGTGCTCTGCAGATGAGTTTTAAGTTGTTGATGTGAACAAACTGTAAAGTAAAAAAGGAAGGTCAGTTTTTTCCGCGCAGCTGCATGCCGCTGCCCACACAACAGCCCTCTCCCAGCTGCAGCCCTGGCCCACTCACACCGTAAGGGGTTAAAGAGAAGGTTTTTCACCCAGTGCGCTGAAAAAAACTATTTGGGTTTTGAGACCTGAGCAGCGGAAAACACCAGCGAGATACCGGTGACAGCTGGGATGCCCCGGTCTCTGCCACCCGCAAGGCTCAATCCCTCCTGAACGTGCCGCAGAAAGGGCACAGACACAGTGCACGGCATGAGCGCGGCGTTCGTAACGCAGCTAGTTCAGGAGCCTGGGAAGGTCAGCGTGTGTTAGCCCTGAAAAGTCTGCTCGCTGTTTTCCAAAGTAACAAAAATTAAGTCAAGAATTGTTAAGAAAAATGGTATTTTTTTTTTCCTCCTAGAAAAGTATTCTACACAAATCCTAGTGATACTAGTTAATCCCACTGCATTATACTTTTTAAAAGCAATATCGGTATTATCACATCTGGCAGCTGTACTTATGCTTTTAAGTTCAAATGGCCTGTTTTTTCAAGTTGGCTTGAGCGAACCTTCTCCACCACCAGGACTCGCAGGGGTCTTACAAGGAAAGTTCATCATCTCACAGTGCCCTTGATCTATTCATCGCTAGGGTAAACATCGAACTTGTAGCTGAACACTTCAGTTTATCTCATACCAGCAATTCCTTTATGTGGCACACAACAGCATCATTACCTCATTCGTCACCTTTGCACCGAAGAGCCAGCCTGCTCCTCGCGGGCTGATCGCCCACGTGTCAACATCTTCTGGGTCAGACCAAACCAGGTCACAGAAGGCGCCTTTGTGAGGAATTTCTTGATTGCGCTCAATGGTTCGAATCTGATCGAGTGTCTTGATGTCTGGAGAGAGGCCACCGTGCACACAGAGAATCTGCTCATCTATTAACTGGAGAAAAAGAGACACATGTGAAATACTCAGTATTTTAACCCAGCCAGAACGCTACCAGTGTGACCCTTAAAGGTCACTCATTCTAGCAGTCACATTTAGACAATCAACTTGTATTTTTGTAATGTGGTGTTTACACTTACAGCTGCTATTGTGAGCATGTCAAAGACTTTGGTACAGTATCTCCAAGCATTAGCATTTCCGTATTTGGTTTGGCACTCATCTGTTAAATAGAGAATTTTTTTCTTCTTAATGGATCAGAAGGAATTCAGAGGCAAACACTTACAGCAGAACTCTAAAGTCAGAGGTATAATGCAAACCCTATCTGGAGCACCAGTAAGCGGCCAGCGGGAAGCGCTCTGTGCCGCTGCTGGCCAGGCCCACCCACGGGAAGGGACCGAGGTGCCTCTTGGTCTTCGCTTACCGAGCAACAGGCCGGGCGGTGCAGAGAAAACAGGGTCTCATGCAACGCCACTGACGATGCTTTTGCTGCTGCCCACGGCTGGGAACTGACCCCTGACCAGACCAGCCAAGTGCTTAAATTTGCAAATTTTATACAGGAGAATGGGGCAGAAAGCATGAACTGACCAGGGCTAGCGGAAGATATTCTTACCACAAGTGGGAGTTACAGTGGCTTTGTTTAAAGCTACATGAACGTGGCAATAAACCTGACAGGCAGGCATTTCTTAAGCGACCTGTGAACGTTTGTACTTGCTCTTGTTGACACATTATCCAAAAGAAAGTATGTAACAGACATTATTCTTTGTGGCAGGTGTTAGGTCTTTTCCAAAATTTCCTCAGGTTTTATCAAAGCCTCACACAACATCAAAGAAGTTTCCAAGCAATTTAACTCCCTCAGTTTTTCAAACAGTTGTTCTGTTGCTTATTTCTTGCCAGTGACATTTCCCCACATGCTCACTGTTGACAATAAATGACTTTCACAGCAAACCCCATATGTGACACTGATTTTTAGTTATACTGAAACTTAAGGGGAATTACAGCAACACCGTGGCTTCGTGTAGAACCTTCCATTACAAGATACCAAAGCACATTCTGTATAAATATATGCTCTTTCTGTCTCTAAAATGGAACATGGCACCAAAAAACGAACAGAAAACCCAGATGGTGGAGGAAAAAAGCAGCGAGATCTGGACTAAAACACTTTCTACTTCATGAACACAACTATCACATTAACAAATGATAACATTCAAGTTCTAGCGAGCCCACTTCCCATCCAGTCCCAGGAAAGCCCCAGGTAGCGCTGCATTCAAAACAAGTTTCCAAAGGGAAAGATGCTGTACTCGTTTATTACACGTTAGCCCCCATTCAGAAATCGTTTGGATAAAGACTTACCATAAAATCCATACACTTGTGTTATCTGCCTGCTTTCATGATTGCCTCGTAACAGTGTGATACGATCAGGCCACTTAGCTTTTAGTGCAAGAAGGTAAGTGAAAGTCTCAAGACTATAATAACCTCTATCTACAAAGTCACCCTGCAAGTCAAAAAAATATTTGTAAATGGAGAAACAGTCAAATGGAAAAATGCAAAGTGATACATCCATTCTAAACTTCTCGCAGTGCATAGAGAAAACTAACGCTGAAGGGAAGCTGGGATCTGCTTGGATCTATGAGAACATGTTCCTTGGTCACTGGGAGTTTCGGGCTTGAACTGGCATGCTGCCGTTACGCCACCGCACGCATCCAGAGCTGCCCCGACACACAATGCGACGGACCCTTGCCAAGGCAGGACGCTGCTGCCCCACCGGCACAGCTCTGCTCGTCCTGTGCCGCTGTACACCGCGTAGCTCGTGCTTTACTCAACAAAATAAAACCCGTACGCAGTAACCAAACAGCAAAAGCAAACACAACTCACAGGCAAGGTCTGAAACTCAACGAGTGTATCAGGACTTAAACCTTAAGCTCATTTTTCAAACACCGGCCGAGAGAGAGAGGGGCGAGCCCAGCGTGCACGTACCATGAAGATGTAGTTGGTGTCGGGGACCTGACCGCCGGTCCTGAACAGCTCGCACAGGTCATAGAACTGCGGGGAGAAGCAGAGGGGTCAGGGCTGCGCCCGCCGGCGGGGCTGG